TAAATGGCCCTGAAAACAAGACAGTTCTTGCCCTGACTTTCACGTAGTTAGCTCCGTCTCATCAATGATGGCCACCGCAATGATGGCATACGCGGTGTGGCCAACCAAATCCACAACCCCATCCATATCCCGGTGCAGGGTACGAGGCCCTACAAGCTGGCCAACCATGGTATCCCTGCCCGCAGCCAGGGCAGTGATTCACAAGCCAGGGGCACCCAAGGGGCGGTAGCCCTATGCCGATGGGAGCAGCTGATGAGGGCGCGCCGACCCTTGCAGTCGGAACCATGTCTCCAGGAGCCGAATGAGGATTGTGCCACCACCAGTACGAGGCACCCGTGTTCCATGGGGCAGACGACCAGCGTTGCCACGGATCGAGACGGACTTCATTCTGTGCCGTGTCACTCGGGGGTTCTTTCTGCTGGGAAGTCGTGTCTTCGCTTTTCTGAATATTTGGCTCGGTGTTCGGCATTCTGCAGGGCGCAGTTCTCTAAGTTGATATGTGCTTCCGTGTTGCGGCGATTTGAAGTTATGGGCGGGCATGTAAGGTACGCGAGAGCTTGACGTCTGTCTTTTATATCTGGGCTCGGAATTCTCCACCTTGGACGGGACGTTGGGCTGTTTTATGTGGATGGCTGTGTGGGAAAAAAAACGCCTGACCCCATGTGTCGTTCCGCCACAACAGAGACGAACCCGCTAAATTAGTTGAAGTTAATAATGATTTGATGTTGATGCAATGCGCAGCAAGATGTACGCATACAACAAGCCAGCACCGCAGAAGACATACATGCATACATACACACTGTGCAACGATAACAGACAAGGCGCCGATTGGGCATATGATTATATGACGTTTGTAAGAATTTTCATGTTAGGCACTTCGGCGATTTGCTGCATCATCCTCATGACGATTCTCACATGATACCACTCTGCTGGCAATGAAATATGGAAAGATGCGCTTGTTGCTCAGTGTTTAACAGGTGCTGGGGTGCCACGTGCAAGCAGGGATACTTTAAGATTACGCACCGAAATGGTAGAACGTTCAAGGGGCAGAATTTGGACACAACACAACATGAATACACGAATCTGCATTAATAGACCGAATACACGTAATGTCTGACACTAAGTAGTCCGCCTGCAGTTCTAGACACTTATGAGGAAATGATGATCCACAAACATATGTGGAACTCTTGTATACAGTGGGATGCAATAAGTTTGAATACCGGGCGTGTATCTTCTTTTGCCGCTAGCCTCTTTGAGCTAGCTACCACGTACATATCAGCTTTTACACAGCTAATAAGAATATAGTGATTGGCTAGATCGAGCTTCTTCCTCAGATTAGAAGCAAGCTAAGCTCCAAATAGGCTAGACAGGGGGTATCAGTCCTTCAAAAGGTATTCAAACTTATTGCATCCCACTGTAGCTCGTTGTTCTGAAAGCCAACTGCCAAGGGTGTATATAGCATTAGAGGAGGCAGAGTCTTTATGTCTGGCTGCAGAGGACGCTCCATGACTACAGAAAGGATTTGCTCATCGTCCATGTGTTCTAAGCTCAATATGATTCTACATGCTCTGATGCGATGATTTGAAGTGACGGCTGCCTTCAAATGCAGCACCAGAAATACACATGTAGGAACAATAGGGATCATGTAAATGACCCGACTTCTAGACAGCGTTTTCAGCACTGTAATAATGACGTGTTTTCTAATCGACTTTACTATCTATGATCTGACCCAAGACGTCTCGGTCAACACCTAGGGACAGTGTCTCCTGACCGTGGTCTTACCCCGCATCTGCCATCACACCATTCCAGGCCTTCGGCCCAGTGGCGTAAACGATCACATGGCTAGCAGTGAGTCGTGGTGACGGGGTTATCTAAATGGGATTAGGTGATTATTCAAGTAACACCAACAGCTAGGTAAGCCGGTAGCTATCTGATCCACTATTTCCTTATGGGAATTGATAGAGCGGCATGACGGTTTTGAACAGAGGCATGACCTTACAGCGGCATGACTTTATATAACATTCAATTGGTCAGTTCTGCGCGGACCCATAAATACTTCCTGACGAACCCAGTGTGACCAGCTCTCTTAACATGACCTTATTCTTACCTCAAGCTCTCCCAGTGCTCAGGATCTTGGCATAGTAGGGTGTCTCAAGAGGTCTCGTTTTGAATGGGAAATTCTTGCTCTGTTTATTGCTCAGGAAACACGTCTAACGCTCTACTCTCTGACCACTATAGAAGGAAGTATATTTTCATCGCTGTCAACTAGCTCCCATTGACTCCTCGTCCTCCGGATGCTAGGTTGCGTCCTCCGACCGCTAGCATGGACTCCTGTTGTTCGACCGGATCCGAGGGTGGCTGACTGACTTCGTGTCTGACACTGAGTCGATATGCTGCTTACCTCACTATTGGCCTGCGTGTCAAATGGAAGAAGGAATTGGGGATTCCAGTGAAAGATAAATACTCTAGGGGCTTCCCGACTTTCTGATTCCTTTGCATTAGTCGCTTTCACCTTGGAATCTTTGCTTTTAGCCAGAAGCTCGCGGTGAAGCCGGTATCTTGACCCTATCACCGCCGTCGACCGTATACAATCTTGGTGTTGTTTTTTTATATAAAATTCGGCCGCTGTGAATAGCTTCCATTTCTGAGAATAAGTCGGCTGGCTGCTGTATAGATCAGCAACCCGTAGATCCTTTAAAGAAGCCCTGAGCATCTTCCTGACCGCTGCAATCCATCGTCGTAAATACCCGACTTCAACCCTAACTTCTTTAGTATGCACACGAGCTTCCTCGGCCGCCTGACCGGCCAGCCGGTTGTGCTGATCCTTTGCGACGCGAAGTCTGGCATCGTATATAGTAATTGGCCCGTAATTTGCCAGTATGGTGGTCCCCTGATCCCGGGCAGACCTTCTAAGGTTCTTCTCCTTGAGACGGCGCATTTCCTGAGTCGCAGTAATCCCATTGACTGCGAGAGTTGTATGTGCTTTCCGCAGCTTCTCATTGACATGTGACACTGAGGGAGTCAGAGGCGTGGCCGAGGTTATTGAGCATTCGATCCTGAGGGCCACATATTCCTCGTACTGACGGATCTGCCGCAACTTGAGCTCCGGCATGTTCATTTCGATCCAGTTGACGCGCGGAGGTGGCGTTGACATCAATCGTATCTCCTGGTCGTGACGATTCGAATGGTGTATCTCATGAGGCGGCGGAACGCCGTCTTCCTCACTCATTTCGGAGTTGCTATCGCTGCTGTGGGTGGAAGAGGACCCTCGTGAGATATAGCCGGGTAATGACTCTTTAGCTACCTCCAAAGATAGTGATGATAAGGGATTTATCATACGGGCTAGTATAACCTCAGGATCGAAGGGATAGATGCCGGTCTTTTGCCAAGATGAGATGATAGTGCTTCTCTTAGTAGTATAGGCGCATACCTCCTGTAAATGGAACAAAAAGTCAGCTTTATTGAAGTCTATAGCGCCATCTGTAATCTCACGAAGAAGGATTTCCTGATGCCAATGCTTGTATACACAGAATAGCCCCACATCTAGCGGTTGAAGGATATGTATTAGGTGAGGCAGGAAAGGGAACAACACCACGCCTGCATCTTGGGCTTTTTGGAAAAGCTCTTTAGTAAAATGATTCTTATAACCGTCTAGTAATAGTGTTCTTTTTCCCGGAATTCTTTGAGTCCGGGAAAGCCGTTCAAAGTGGTCGAAGAATTCTAGCGCGGAGATATCATCGATATAGCCGTTTGGTGTTGTAACGATCGTTGTGCCCGGTTCAAGGCGGTTGTCAACCCACCGAGACGGCAGCTGTACGCCCGGCATGATGATAAACGCTGGAATAACCCGTCCTTTTGCTGATATCGACTTAATGATCGTGACGCTTATTGTCTCGTGTGCATCAGTCAAGATAGGCTTGTCGATTTCCCCAAAAGTCCACAGGAACATCCCATTTTTAAGATAACCGATCTGGAAGCCTGTCTCATCGATGTTCCACATATCCTCGTAATCTATGCCTTTTTCCGCGTAATCATGCTACTTGCGAAACCACTCTTTGACGTTGGCTCGGTCTGCCATCGCCTTTCTTTGCACTGCGATGGTTGAACTCTTCTTTCTATGAAGAATAGAGGAATATCTTCTTAGGAAACGTCTTGCCCAGTATCTGGAAGCCGTTGGAAGTCGGTCAGTTGCTTTTAGAATGGAATTAGCATACTGTCGAAGAGTACGCATCTGTATATGATGTCCCTGAGTGACGCGGCGCCAGCACCAAGCGAGGATCGCCTTCTCTTCTTCCGGCGAAAAAAGTGTGAAGTTGCCGCCATTTTGAGAGACAGGATGTTTTCCTTTTTGTCGAGAAAGCAACCTTTTATATGGTACCCTCCATGCCTTGGCAGCTTTAACGGCTGAGGAGTAATATCCTTCCCTTAGAAGCTCGATAGCCGCGACAGTACGCGTCTCAAGGTTGTGAGCTGTATATTGCAAGATATTAGGGTTTCCGGTGTCAGAATTGATATATTTTTGTACTGCAGTAAGAGCCGGTTCAGGGCTTTTGATTGATGTATCCATCGTCTTAATTGAATAGAAATTGCAATTATTATGACTGAATAAAGTAATTACCTTGTTGGTGTTGAGGACGTTGAGTGGTGATTTCGTTGTGATGTTTGTGAGGGGTAATGACATATCGCGGGCATCATCAGTGCAGCAAAGAGGGACAATTCAACTAAAGGAGTGACTTATTTTTTTGGTGGGGCTACATACAAAAATAAGGTATCTAATTTATTCCCCAGTCACCCGCCCCTTTCCCTAGTCAGCCTACCCCCCGTGCTTGACGCACGGGCACCTACGGTGGAAAGGAAAGCACGGGGGGTCGGTCTCTAGACCCTACCCGAGTACGTCATAAGCATTCGTAATTCCTCATTTATCGCGTCATGACCGAGTTGGTTCACTTCCATGAATTCTGCCTCTACTGGGTTCCCTTCTGCTCTCAATAGTATCTTAAATGTCCTCTCGTCCACTTCCATCTCTCGGCGATAACGGATTGTCTTCGATTTGCCCCCAATCTCGTAGACTTCTACCGACTCCATCATCGAGTTCTGAGGGCACCAGCTCTGGTTCCGGCAAAGGACCATCCGTACCCCTCCGCCGTCCTCGGGCCAACCTGACAAACATCGCCTGCGAATCTTGTCGGAAACGAAAGGCCAAGGTACGTGCAGAGCTCCATATGACCATGCTTCTTCTGGGAGTCTGACAAATTTGGCCCGCTAACTCGCTATCTCTCCCACGCAGTGTTCTGGCGAACGTCCGAAATGTAGGGGTTGCATCAAAAGAGGCATCGAATGTCATTACCAGGCTTCAGACCGGGGCCAGCATGTCCCAAAGCGGAAGTACGATGAGATACAACAAAAATCCGAAACCTACGAACAACTCCACCACCTCCTGACGTGCCTGCCAGAGCGAGAGGCCTATGGCATCCTCGGCAGACTTCGCGAGGGCGCCGATGTTGCCACAACCATGCGGCAGGTGAAAGACGGCGACTTTCTGATACAGCCGGCATGGGCATCAGAGACACGACTTCATTACGAGTTCCCTTATTCCACTTCCATGCCGACTGTTCTATTCTCACCAGACAACCCATATCTCGGCTTACCAGTATTCGAAATTACGTCTCACGCTCTGCCGCAGTCAGCAGAGCAAACAGAGATTTGGGCAAGCCAGATCGAGACCATCTACATGACGCTGTATAACGCAGTAGAACTGGTGGACCCTCACATACCAAACATTCAAGTTTCCAAGTGGACATCTGTTGAGGCAGACGATGAGTTACTGCGAGCACTCTTGCGAGCATACTTTCTCCATGACTATGCGAATTACACTTGTTTTCAGAAAGACATCTTCCTCCAGGCCATGAGAGACGGCGATACTCGATTTTGCTCTCCTTTACTCGTCAACGCTGTCCTGGCCAAAGCATGTGTAGGTCACGAGAACGCAATAACACGTGGATCTGCTAAACTTCTCTCTCAGCAGAGTTATCGTGGAGCCACCCAACGTGCCCAGTTTTGGAGACCAGAGACTCTGGGCTACAGGTTCCTCGTAGAGGTGAAACGACTCTGGGAGCTGGACAGCGGTAAGGTCAAGCTCACCAATCTGCACGCCGCAATGGTACTGCATGTTATCTATACCATTGATGGGATGGATCAAATCGGAGTATCCTATCTGCTTCAATCGGTACAATTGTCACAGAGCCTGAAACTTTTTGCATCGGAGCAGGAGGAAGGGAGAACGAGGACTGCCCGTGTATTCACGGCCTGGGCCCTATATCGCTGGCAATCGTGGGTCTTTTTACTCCATACTCTACAAAATCCAGGGGAGAGGCTGATGACCTGGCAATAGAATGCAGGCTTTCCATAACTCTAGAGCTCCCCTGATCAGGGAGCCTCCAGCGACGCCAATGCCAGACCTAGACAAAGACCCTTCGTGGTACGGGGAACTATGGCTAAGATATCCCCCGAGCTCGATACTCGTACCAATGCACTTTGGATATGTCTATCGAGCTCAAACGGAGCTACGCCGTATTACCAATGGCATTGCCTGTATCATATCCGAGGACAAAAAAACTGCTCGGGGTTTAATGGCAAACGAACTGGCTCATTTTCAAAAGGAGCTCGACGACTGGTACAATGCTCTTCCAGAACCCATCAAGTCGCACAAGGCAGTGCTACCGTGCCAGCTTATAATGCAGTAAGTTTCAAAAAGACAACATGACTATATTACGCGGGTGTTGAAGTTGACATTTAGGCAGCATGGAGTACTGTGTTCTGCTTTTCAAAGTCGCCCAAATGGTGCCAGAGACGAAGTCACGCCTATCCACAGGTGCCGACGCAGCCAACAATGACTCTCAACCTTCCAAAGCTGTTGCGTACGCTTTAAGATGTCTCGAAACTGTACTTCGTCTCTACTACCTACGTCACAGCTTCGAGCACAGCGATCCATACCTAACCTACTTCCTCTCCCTCCTAGCAAATATGGCTATCGAGAATATGAATAGCGACTCAGTATCCCTAGATGATGTCGAACCCCTCAAGACCCTACGCGCAACACTCATACTCACTGTCAAAGGCCTCTACGACCAAGGCCAGCACGTATACGTCCCGTCCGCCATATACCGGCTGATGCGGGACCGCATGACGAACGAAGACATGAATGGGCTGAGGGGGCACACGATGTGGAAGGACTACCAATTGCTGGTCCCACACTCTATCAGATCGACGTTTCCGGCGACAATTGTGACGCTGGATGAGGATTGGCAGATGGGGACGGTGAAGCATCTGGCCAAGAAGTATGATCAGTTGGCACTCGAGGCGATTAAGATCCGAAAGTAGCATGACCATGACGCCGGATAGGGGGTCCGAACCGGCTGGATGAAAGTTATTGATTGACGGACTTATCCTCCTGGTCAACAAACCTGGCGACTTCAGATTATATATGTTTCTTGTCTGACGCGGATTGTGAAACCCGTTATGGCATGGATTGTGTTATCAGGAACAAGCCATCTAGGATCAATAAATGAAAAGCCGTGAGAGAACTGTTGCTTGCAATCATTCCTTCGCCAGTATCGTTGAACTTGGGACTGGATCACAAAAGAAGGTTGCATTTATTTCTTACGGCCTCGGTGTTCTACTATATCGACAAATTTCTAATAGACCGCTGGCTCGCGCCCATCTCTGTGTTAGAGTGGGTCAACTTCTGCGTTTAATCGAGTACCGAACTTCGATCGTGCCCTGGGAACGATGCGGAAGAGCCCTATGTATCTCGGCCCAGGAGCGACCATCTCGTTTCATCCTGCGCACTGTATCTTCCTCGTCTGGTGTCCACTTATCATCAGATGATTTTTCAGCCCCGGATGAAGTCTTGGGTGGTCTTCTGCCTTGTCAGGCCTTGATACTGATCTTTTGGCAGGCGAATGACTTGCGCAAAGGGGCCACTCAAATTGAAATTGAAACACCGTCTTTGCTGTTTTCGGTGATGCGCTTCGTCAAGCGGCCATTCCTGAAATCGAGCAAGAAACGCACTTGACTCGGAAGAAACAGAACTTGCCTGCGTTGGGGTTGGATTCAACCTCCTGTATGCCGATGTGTCATTCCTCAATAACAGGTGACTGAGGCCTACCTCCTATCCACATTGTCTTTGTTTTGTATTTTTCTTTTCATATACACCAAGTTTGACGACGCTTGGCCACGAGATAGATGCTTGAAGTTCTTGACCACAGTATGGATAGATAATTCTGAAGCTTTTGGCCTTGACTATCTTTACTCTTCGGATGAGTGGAGTAATCAAGCTCTCCTGGTTTCCTCTAGAATCTATTTACGAGGTGTTGATGACGCTGTCATTATGAGGGATTGCAATATTACAGGTGAGCCAAAGAGTCTCTCGCTTGCGACGTGCTTGCTCTAAGACAGTAGTTCACTCAGGTCCTAGTGGTCATATTTCCAATTGGGACCGGCACTCATCTGGAGGCGTGGGCAATCTGTGTGGCTATCTCTGAGTGTATCGAAGTTATCATCGCAGTGACCTTGATATTCATTCCTCGAGTCATGGTTCACATCGAAATTGCGTACGATGTACCTCCACTGACGTCCCAAGTCGTGACGATGGCGATAATGTATCGCGCTTTTCATGGGATTAAAAGGTACAACGCACCCAGCTGTACATTCATTCATTGTATCTGGGCTGGCTTGGCTGTGATTATTATTTCAATGGTCGTAGTCGTGCTTTCAGCCACTGCAGTCTACCCGTCTTGCACTCATCCATGGCCTTCTCTACATGGAAAGCTCAATTATGGGTTACGATCTGCAAAACACGTGCGGCCAAACCTTGGATCCGCGGACGAGCGTTCGGCATACGTTGCTAGACTTGACATCATCTCGCACAGCCGGGCTTCACACTGTCCACTACTTCGAGTAATATACTAACAAAAAAATAACTTTACTCGTATATTTTGTATTACTCCCGAAGACGGTGAAATCAGTTCTCTCATGCGTTAGCCTTCTACCTAGTCAGGGCCTATATCTATTGGAGCCATTGACGAAAGCAAACCTGATAATGTCAGATGGCCTGTATAATCCTCTAGATCCGCCTTCTCGACGACAACACTATGATCTATAACCTTGACAAATGTAAACTCTATCACGCTATCTTCTTTATTTTTAACTTGGTTAGATAAATGCTCCTGCGCGTAAGACGGGACCCTAAGTCTTTGCTTCTTAACAATAGATTCTATTGATAATATGACGTCCTTAGCGACCGGAAACGACTCCCTTAGCTCGGCCAACGCTTGACACGCCTTGACGAACGTCTCAAGTTGGATCGGGCTAGAGTCTATGCCTAATAATACGCGAAAAGCGCAGACTGAACTGGCTTGAATCATCCAGTGCTCATTACGAAGGGTGTATAAGGCTCGGGAATGCCATATCGCCAATATGGCATTGCTTGCGTGCGCGTAAGACGTTGTGACTGGATCGAACGGCCCAGTGCGCTCCTCGATCCCGTATTCATGTAGTATCTCGCTAACGCGGTCGGCAAGGTTTTCGCCGCCGTGGCGACCTTCAATCCGTGGCAAGCCTAGGAGAAATGTACGGAACTTCCCTTCATCATCAAGAAAGTGCACGGTGAGGCCGAGCAGAGAGGTAAACCTGCGAGACGACCACGCATCAAAGGAGATATTAATGCGGCTGAGAGAACGGCCAAGTAATTCCGTCACGAAGCCTTTATGACGACTGAAGGTCCGAACAATCCATTCGCGAATCGTGCTATGGGTGGGAAGACTTCCCGAATCCACGATGGCACTGTTTGCGTACGCCATAAGATCGCGAAAATATGGGCTCTCAAGCTTGTAAAATGGGATATTATCGCATGCCACCCAACGTATGAGTAAATGTTGAAAGCAGGCAGGTTCGAATGATGCTATAAATGCGTTCATCAAGGCTTGATCCTTTGGTCGATGAGGGTCTAGGTCAACCATGTCGAAAAGAGTGCGTGGTTTCTTCCTCTGCGGTGGCATGGATCCGTCTTTATTGATACGGTGGATATCTTCCACATGACCGTTTGCTTGGCTCGTAGATGCAGCGTCATACATGTGGGTGATCGTAGCCTTCTTCTGGTGACACGTTTTGCAAAGCCAGAATCGGTGACCGGAGCCGTCTTTTTCGATATCGAATCCGTGTTCCCATACCCACCCTGTCCGCGGCCTTCTTTGATGTTTGCGAATGGAATACCCCGAAAGGCGATTCCAGTCGATGCCTTCATAGCCGATATAGTCGACCGAAAATGATGCGTCATCCGCCGCTCCTCCTTTGGTCTCTGACGAACCGAGGTCAAGGCTATCAAGGAGGCTAAAAGCAGTAGAAGGAGCACTGGAAAGAGCTCTTGACGCCTGGCCAGTATTCGCATATTGAACCATATCAAATAAACCACGAGAATTATCGTGAATTGCCGATCGCTTTACAATATTCTCAGACTAGGCCATTCATGGAGTAGTGGGGTGTGTTCATTGCAAGGCCGACATAGGCTTAGAATAAACTGATTTCGTATGCAGCGCGTCGCAAGGTGGTAGGAAAACAGAATTTCGTGTAACCTTACGCGACGCGGGGCGTAATGACTGGCAGTGATTGGGCCAGATTACAGAAGTGAGGCTTATCCAAATAGCCAGATATCCAAATAAATCTGGACATCGCGATTTGATTTGATTTAGATAACATTATGGCCCATTTGATTTGATTTGATTTGAATAGATTTGGATTTGATTTATTTGTTTGCAAGCCTGATGATCATAGTTCAGTTTATTCTTGACCTAGATTTACGAGGATCTCCCCTGCCATTGCGTGGTGTTAAAGAAATGGCAAATCGATTACTTGCTGACCGCGATGCATCATTCTTTAACAAGAACTGGGCTTCAAACTTCATTAGGCGACAACCAGAGCTCAAGATGCATTTTCAGCGGAGGTATAACTATCAGATGGCTAGATGCGAAGACCCAACCGTTATTAGCGATTCTTTTAGGCTCGTACAGAATACAATCATCAAGTACGACATCCAACCAGATGATATCTATAACTTTGATAAGGCCGACTTTATAATGAGCATGATTGCAGTGGTATAGTCGTCACAAGCGCAGAGGGGCGTAGAGGTTGAAATCAGTGCAGCCTTGAAATCGTGAATGGGCTACAGTCATCCAAGCGATCAATGCGGAAGGCTACGCGATCGAGCCGTCTATCATAGGTACGGGCCAATATCAGCTCGCAAACTAGTACCAAGATAGCAACCTCCCGGACGAATGGGCTATTACAACGTTCCCAAATGGCTGGACTGATAACGAAACAGGCCACGAGTGGCTAAAGCACTCCGATCGATGCATAACCGACCGATCCGTTAGTTCCTATCGTCTTCTGATCTTTGGTGGCCGCGAAAGTCATTAAATCGATCGACTTTGAGATATACTATGAAGAGAATATTATTATCACACTTTGCATACCACCTTATTCATCTCATCTACTTCAGCCTCTTGATGTCAGGTGCTTTGGGCCGCCGAAAAAAGCATATAGTCAAGAAATAGAGCATCTGATTAAAAGGTCTAACATGTAAGATAAGCGAGCGCTGCACTAGGGTTTTCACCTTGAAGTGAGTTTTGTAAAAATCTATATAAAATCCAAATTAAGCTTAATATAGCAAATCTTAAAATAAGTTATTTATTAGCTTCATATTAAGTTATATACTTTTTTTTTGCGTTTCAGAAAATCCTATTTAGCTAGTATTAGGAAAAACCTTATTCACACTGTATTTTTAAGAATATCTATTTTTTAAGAATTTAGAAAAAATACTATTAAGATAATAGCTCAAGAACTATTTATACTATCTAGCGCTTTTACTAAATAAAATAAAGCTAAGCCCAATAATAAGCTTAAGTGGTATAGGGTAAGTTCTTTTTCTATTATACAGTATAGTGCGGCGCTCGCTTATCATACACGTTATCACCTAAATTTCCAAGATCGAGTTCTTCTCGGCCTTTTATGCCGCTTTCAAGCTACTATGACCGAGAAAAATATCAAAGGAGGTTTAAGGGAGCTAGCCCTATCCCTTTTGGTTGATAAAGTGTGGTCTCAAAGATTGATATACAGCTACGGACTCCGACGCCCGCCGAGGAGGGGGCTAGCCAGGCACAATCTTGGACTTCAAAGACTCCAAAGACAGTTTCTAAGGCTAGGTCTCAATCTAAACACCTTAAGAGACGAATCAGAGGGCATCAGCTCAGCTGTCCTGAGTTAATTCTTAAAGTTTTAAAGTGAATTGCGAAGGGGTCTATAGCAATAATATATGAATGCCTTATTAAGAGCTAAGAGCCAAGATCTTCGACAGGCGAATAAGATACTTAGCCGGCGGCATAGGGCAAAAGGGGCTCGCCTGCAGAATAGAGGGAAGATAACTATAGAGGAAGTTAGGGATCTAATTGACCAGATGGATATAGATACGCAGTTTGTAGCTGAATTATCGACGAGAGAATACCTCGGCGATTCGAGGACGCTTCGAGAGGCCGATAACGGTATTGGAGAGGATGCAACCAATATGCATCCTGAAGAGATAATTAGCCGTCATATCCCAGAGTTGAGTGCATGTAGTTTATATTGCGCAATAGTGCTGAGTGAAAATATTGATTGAAATTGATGGTTAATTTTTCGAGATAAGAGTTCTTCTCGGGTTTATATCTCTAAATGGTTTCATCCAGGACTTTGAACTCTAATATAGGACTTTCAGACTGTTAGTCTGAATCCTGAAGGGAAGGGGGATCACCAGATTTTCCACCACCTGATAACACTCCTCAAACACACTTGGACCCACAGCGTTGCTATGATCATGCCATGGGCATCGATGCGGCAAACTACGAGACAGGAAAACCAGGCCTATTTACTCTTAGGTCGATTTGATATCAACATGTCTCTCATCTACGGAGAGGGTCATTAAGCATTCTACGGACTGCAAGTGGAGATCATGAAGTCTACGACTGACGACTCTTTGGCTTACTTAACTGTATCTCTTGACGGTCATGGCTACTCTACGAGTGAGGGATCTTCTGCCAGGGGCTTTCGGTTCCTTGGATTTGCGGCGCCGCAAGTTGTTTGCTTCAGAGATTCATATGATATTGTGGCGCCGAAGGATCTTCCTCAAGGCCATGCACCCTACGACACCGTTAAGCAGAATATCAGCCTTTCAGCCGTTTTGGTCGAACTGTGCTCATTACCAGCCGATTCTGAGCAGCTGATAATCGGAATTGAAAAGTCAATGTCGTTGGGCCATTACAGTTCTCAAAAAAAACGGAAAGGCCATTAATCATACTCTTGTTATTACCCCGGCAAGACAAGATGCAAAGCGGATGAAAGTAATATGCTTACTTGCAAGCATACAGTGCTGTAATAAGGACGGATACATCGTGATACCTATCCAGAGCCTGGCATCTAGTGGCTTCGAAAGAGTGGAGAATAGACATCGATGCCGTTGGTTCAGAGTACGATTGATGCCTCTTCGTTTGTGCCTAAAAGACGGGGACGAAAGGGTACATGCCGAGTCCGAATACAGACTGAAGGAGTTGATACTGGAAACAGGGAGAACGGACCACCCGCAGGCTCGCCCGAAACTATACTCATCCGAGGATATGTCCCGTTGAAATTGGCTCTCGAAACCAGAACTGCGCAATCTTTGAAGAGCAGTTCTCTGAGTCCAAACCTTTGGTTCCGATCAATTTCCTCCAATCATTAAGACTAGATCATTGGCAAAGATTATCCAAAAAAAAAAAAAAAAAACCTTCATGTTGCTATTACCAACGCCGCGTGCGCATGCCGAGGCAGTTGAGAGAATGAATAATATGATTGGTGCTGAGCCGATGTTTTGTACCATTTTCCAGCCCTGGTATTCTGACTCAAAGTTGCCTCCGTTCCTTATTCGCTTTAAATGGAAGAAAGTAAAGTTTCATCTCCCAAAAACCAGCATAGATTGTCTTATAGACCTTAAGTGAATAGCTGTAGTGACACATTGGAGACTTCAGATGCTCGTTTTATTGACATTAACATCAACGATTCCTCGACCACAATCCCGCTCGCGGAGGACCTATTTCTTGTATTTCGATTTCGACAGGGTGCCTTCCGGGATCTTGGCTGCTACTTGAATGTCAGTATTGAGAGTCGTATACCATGAGTAGCAGAAACTGAGCATGTAGCCAGGACCATCAGAAATATGTTTCTGGGCTTCCATATGACTCTTAGGCGTCGCTAAAATGATGATTAATAGGATGAAATCAATTGGAAGATTCTTTACTAAGGGAAAGAACTTTCTTGGCGACCTAAAGCAAGTGAGAAAATTCGGCAAATTGAACGTCAAGGCTGAATAAAGATCATGATGCAGGATATTCTCAATTTAAGCCCCTAATCAATTATACTCTGGCTTCTTACCTTCAATATTATCTCAAAGAGTTTTTAGGTTCAGATACATGCCATTTTCCGGCTTAATTGTAATGACTCCCCTGGGCATAACAAGCCCATGATCCATCGCCAGCGTCCACTTGAAAGACCGAACCATAGTAGCCAACAGGCACCGCATCTCAGCCTTCGCAAATCCTTGCCCAATGCAGCTTCGCGGCCCATGTAAGAAAGTTAGGAAGTTGTAGTTGCTACTTGCTCCGCCATTCTGGTTCGGTTTGCCATCACCTGTGATCCATCGTTCGGGGCGAAATTCCGCTGCGTCAGGCCCCCAAATCTCCGGCGAGCGGTTAATGTACCAGATTGATACAATGATGTCTGTCCCTTCGGGGATGAACTGGCCACCAATTCGGGTGTCGCGGACGGCGTGACGTATGGTCATTGGTACTGTCGGGTAAAGTCGCAGTGTCTCGTGCATGATGCCGTTGAGGTAAGGGAGTTGTTCAAGAATCCCTGCAAGATCTACTGCTCTATCATTATTCAAGTCCTCTGGTAACGCCTCTCTGACCTCCTCCCTGAGCTTGGCTTGGATCTCTGGGTGCTTAGTGAGTAGGTAGCATGCCCACGTAAGTGAAGATGCGGTTGTTTCGTGACTGTGGCGCGTTATGATTGTCTGTTATAGTGGCGAAAGTCTCACATACCCTGCTGCCAGTAACGTTAGGAGCTGATCTTTTATCGCTTCGTCTGAGAAGTTGTTCGACTTAATAAGAAGCGACAAGACATCAAAATGATTGTCTTCCTTTTCCATGATCGCAGTCTTCTTTTCCTTGAGCATTGAAAAGCATAACTCGTTCAATGACCCAGTCAAATACTCGAAGAGGCCATTCATCTTCCAAGGAATCAAACGAACGATTGGCAGACCAATATCCAAGGAGAGCATGGCAAAAATGAGCTTTTCTCGGTCAGGTTCGAGCAGCTGTTCATAGATGTCTGCAAGCGGATCTTTCCTCTTCTCAACAGCATCGAACTTGCGGCCGAGGCCAGCAATGCCAATGATGTCCAGCGTGACTTTGCTCGCCCAGCCATTCAGCTTAACCACAGATGACCTGGAAGCGGCCATGTCTTGGTTGAGTACTTTGGCAAGAGTCTCTCCTTTTGCCCACATCATAGGATAAAGCTCTTTTATATGCCGGAAGTGGAAGGCTGGCATCGTGTTCCTGCGAAGAAACTTGTGCTGATTACCCTCCACAATAATGAGACCATCACCAAGAATGTGCCGCAAGAATGAGCTGATTCTTTTTGGTTTGGCAAAATTGTAGCAGTTATATACGAGGAGGTCCGCCAGCAGTTGAGGATTCATAATGCATATCTGGTCTCGAAATGAGTTGAGGGTGATCAAATCTTCCCCAGGATACTGCTTCGCAAGCTCCAGGAAAAGATCGCCGGCCGGCTTGTCTTTGACGATGAGTGCACGATGGGCGGGGCTCGGATACGCCTATCGGAAATATCCAGGTCAGCTTCTGAAAATTCTATTAAGAAGTAACGCGGTTTCGCTTGAAGAAGAGGAAGGATACTTTACTTGCCTTTGGCCCTGGAATCCGTCTTAGCGGACTAAACAACACAGGGTAAAGCAAAACCCAGAAAACTATTCCAAACGCATAGTTGACGAGTAATATCGTAGCTACAGCAGCCAAGTGACTTTGGGTGCTTAATAGTTTGGGAACAGCTTGATAGCAAGAACCGACTCAACGACGGCGGCGAGCGTAAGACTGGGAAAGCCCAGTAGCTTCGAAACGACGGCCATACTGAGCCAGTTGCAGCGGTTGTGTGATGATGGTGTTTGACTTGCGAAAGGTCACAGATATTGAATTATGCCCAAGCCTTTGGCTGTACTCGCACTCGAGATGCTGATCTGGTATATAAAATCCCTAGCAAGATTAGGCTGCATTCTCATGTGAATGTCTCCGGCCAATACGGCAGCGGCCAATCGGTATACTGTTTGGTCATGGCATGCTGTCCGTCCTGGGTGTTTGGGTATGAAGTCATCATCACTAGGCTGCTCAACACTGCTGTCAGTATGTCATGTGCCTCTCAAAACTAGCGCCGATACCACCCCCGAGCAGGAAGCTTTGAACGGTGACTAGCAGTCAGGTAACCCCTCACGATACCGCAAGCGGAACCCGATTAACGCCCACCCCCCATTAGTGGCCACCCCGCATTTTGCGAACCTGCCAGGATCATCACCACGTAACGCGATGAACAGTATGTAAGTTCTCAACAGCAAGCTGGCGAAATTGAAATCTGGTTTAATCTTTAGATTCGGCAACAATGAAATATACAGAGTATCAGCTTCAATGCGCCATTGACGAGACGTTGACTACTGGAAACCCCGCAAAGGCTGCCAAAGAAGGGCAGGCCCCTCGTACAACACTTCGGCATCGTCTCAAAGAACGAAGGCAAGCTAGACATATACATAGTCGACGCCTTTAGCCAGTTCATGAAGAGCATCTCGCCAATTGGGTTCTTGTGCAGCTTGGCCTAGGGCTTGCGCCAACGCACAACCAGCTCCAAGAATTCGCTCAGCGCATCGTCAATAACCAAGACGACCCTGAACCTATCGGCAAGAACTGGGTTGAAGGTTTTTTACAAAGAAATCCGAAAGGAAAGGCGCTGAGAGGCAAGGCTATTGATTTCAACCGTTTGGAAGAGGCAACAACTGAGAAAGTGCAGGATTGCTTCCGGAGGCTCGCCCAACCCGTGGTTAAAAGGATCCCTCCCCAACATCGTTACAATATGGATAAGGCCGGCTTAATGGAAGGAAGAAGAGATAACGGCTTCGTTCACGGTTCATCTGATGATAATTTCGCTATTTTAAAATCCCTAGTGGCCGGCTATGGACCTCCATTCTTGAAGCTACCAACGCCATTGGAATTGCACCACCTCCCGTCGTGGTCTTTCAAGGAATGACAATACAACACCAATGGTTTCCAGAAGGTTTGAAATGATTTGAAGTTTGCAACTTCACATACTCACGGAGAGGCTGGACCTCTGATGAAATCGATCTCGAGTGGCTAAAGACGGTATTTATTCCGTTAACTAAGCCCGCAGAGGAACAACCACGTCTTCTCATCGTTGACGGTCATGGAAGTCACTAAGCTATCGATTTATATGGGAATGTTATTTTAATGACATACATATCCTATGTTTACATTCCCATTGTTCACATCTGCTCCAACCGCTCGATTTGACGGTATTCTTGGTGTTTAAAATGGCATACAGAAAGGAAGTGCAGCAACTCGTCAGAATCAAAGGTGATTCAGCCCTGGGCAAGGCTTACTTCCTGAAATCATATCTGAAGGCACGGCAGGTGGCAATGAAGCCGGATACTTCCGTGCGGGTTGGAAAGCCGCAGGAATGTGGCCAGTTTCTATGGCATAGACCCTCCGGAACCCATGGTTTATTGGACGGCAACGATAGCGAGAAAGCAATCAATTTAATACGCCTACGGCTAAGAGAAAGGTGCCCCCGGCCAGCGAAATCGTAATCTGCACACCATATTGCGGCTTTGACGTCCCTTCGGGAATCAATCTATTCACAAATAAGCAGGAGATTGGAGCTATGGGAAGGCGGCTATTTAGGAAGGTCAGTAAGGCGCTAGGCAAGCATCTCGCCGTTATTGCTAATCAGGAGCAGGGAATAGAGGTGCTGAAGGCCCAAGTTGATCACTTTCGTCAAAGAAAAAAAGAAAGTGAGGCTAGGAAATAGCATACAGTACCCACCTGCCGTAGGTACTCACCAACTGTACAGCCAAAGAAAAGAAGAAGAAAAAACTCTCCCCATACAAAATGCTTATTTTCACTTACACGATGCGTATCCAGAACTGGGCTTGTTGACCTGGAACAACGTCTGTTAGATTGAGAACCTCGTCAGGTTTCATATTATCAAACTGATTTTTCGATAGCATGCGCGGTATGGTTGCATGGCACTAATGTAAAATGTCTTAAAATACCTCCCACGTCACCCAGCTTCCCTGAAGCTCCATTAAATCTTTTCCTACGTCAGCCTGCCTTCATCGCTTCGAAAATGTCTCGGGCGTCCTATACAAAGAGCAACGTTATAGATGCTATACTAGACGTCACAGATAATGGTCTCTCGCAGAGCCAGGCCGCCCAGAAGAATGGCGTGCCTCCAACCACCCTCTCTGACCGATTAAGAGGCGTACCGTCAAAGTCAGAGGCCACACAGCCTGCTCAGCTTTTATCCAAGCCTGAGGAGTCTAGGTTAGTTGCCTGGATACTTCGGCAAGAGGCCTTGGGCTATGCTCCTTCTCACAGTCAAGTTCGCGCCACCGTCGCTGCCCTTGTACGACAACAAGGCAGGGAAAAGCCCATCGGCGTACACTGGCTAGCCAGGTTCATGAAACGACATCAATCTATAAAGACGAAGATGGGAAAATGTCAAGAGGCGTCGAGGTTTAATTGTTTTACCCCGACCGCCATCAATCAGTACTTTGATACTCGGAGAGAGAGTATGGCTAGATCAAACCTAAGAATACTATTAATGTTGACGAGGGCGGCATAATGGCCGTATTTGGTGAGTATTTATCGTTTCAGTCACAATTCCTATTGATCCATTTCAAATCTGGGCTTAGATTCCTTGGCTATCGGCAGTAGCGATCCTCAGAGGAAGGCATTCCTCAAAGGCTCCCAGTCCGGCACTTGGACTAGCTTTCTCGAAACCGTGGCTGCAGATGGCCGTCTCCTGAAGCCAGGGATCACCTTTAAAGACAAAGAGCTTCAGCAACAATGGTTTATCGACGAGCTTGAAGAGGTGGCCGACTGGTACTACATTACATCTGACAACGGCTGGACGGACAACCATATTGCAGTCGAGTGGCTCAAGGAAGTCTATCTGCCCCAAACGCAACCGGAAGATGAGTTTGATGCGAGACTTATTATATTAGATGGCCATCTAGGCCATGTATCTGTTAGTACTTGCCTGTTCTAAATCTACTGAATCAACAATATCGCTGACTCCAAATCCAGGGTGAGTGGAAGGTTACGTGCTTCTTGAACAACGTATATTGTTGTTACCTGCCAGCTCATAGCTCACACGGCCTATAGCCACTTGACAAAGGCGTGTTCAATGCCTCTAAGGCTGCATATCGCAAAGAAGTCCAAAAGTTGGCCAGCCTGACTGATTCTGCGCCGGTGGATAAGGTCAACTTCATCAAGGCTTATGCCAAAGCCAGGGAAGAAGGGATGAAGAAGAAAAACATCCTAGCAGGCTGGAGAGTGACTGGAAACTGGCCGATTTCACGACGTAAAGCATTCGCGCATCCTGAGATTCAACCAGAGAAGAAGGAAGTGACGCCTGCATCAGATGGCCACAGAGACGGTCAAGTCGACTCTGATAACACGCCAAAGACCAGCCGTCATATCAGGGATCTAGGGAAGAACAAAAGCCCTTCAACAAGAAGACGGTATTCTGTACTATCGAAAGGGTTTGAAGCACAAGAGTCAACGATCGCCACGCTTAGCTTTAGAGTAGCCAGTTTAGAGGAGGAAGTCGAGCGGTTGAGCAGAGGGAAGAAGAGAAAGGCGATACCAAATCCTAAGAGGAAGTCCGTGACACTAGCCGAGGCTCTAGTGGCTGGTGACACTATTTTAGAGCGAAACCAGGCAACCGTAGAGACAGGCTGTTGAGGATGTAATCGAGATAGGAGGAGGGGAAGATGATGAGAGCACAAATTCGGAGGCGCAAGAATTACCTGTCGCACGTACTGGCACAGGCCGCGTAGTCAAAAGATCAAAATGATGTTAAAATACTTTCAACGCTTAATTTAAGTATAGGAACTAATTCTTTTTCGTATATTTAGTCACCTTTTGCAATGTGGTTGAAAAATCGCGGTTTGTATTGGGAGTTTTTTTATTTCAGTTTTTCTTTTGCTGTATGGTTGGTGGGTACGTATGGCAAGTGGGTACTGCCCGGTAGTGATCGTGTTCATCAACGCCAGCACACCATCACGAAGCAAATCATTTACCCATCACCAGAGGAGAAGTAGTCGGTCGCTATTGCCTTCGTTAATTAACTAAAGGCATCTACCTTGGTGGCATGGAAAGATGTCAAACATGTCATGGAAACAAGGTAAGAATCAATCAGATCGAGAATGCTAAGTTAGGAATAATTATGTCAATTTGTTCTTTGACGCTTGCATTTCGTTATTGACGTTGTTAAAATGCATTCCCGAACTTACCTCTTTGCAGTTGGTAGAATTCTGAGAAAGCTCCCCTTGGCCACGAATGCACCATTTAGTGTCTTATTGGTACACGTCCATGTATTTCGGACAACAAGCGACTCAGACGTACATAATTGGTCAAACCGCATTCTCTAGGCAGACAACCTCGTTTAGTCACTCCCATCATAAAAATCCAGCATTTCGCTGGGTCTTTCATGCCCCTTCATTTCAATATTCGCCGTTGTCCTTGCTTATGATTTTACCTTGCCCCAATCTCCCTTTAAATAAAGTAACATGATAGTTTTACTATGTCGTACACACTCAAGCACGAGAGTTCCTTCTCCTTTTCTCCTGAGGCTAACCTTAAAACACCCTCTGCATCATCCAGTGGCCACTTTTCCATGATTTTTCCTTAACAATGTTAGTTGTACGGCATCTTATCATATTGTTAAGTATTAGAAAGAACAGGGAATCCCATTTACGAAGTTCATATTCATTAGCTCGTAGTGGGTAACGCAGTTATTCTTTGATATTTCTTACCCTTGCCAGATATACATCTGAGCCTCCCAAAACAACTATTATGGACTATGCCCCTCGATACCTAAGCTTTCGCCATCACAATAAACAATCACACGTTTGTCTTATTGCTCTTGAACCTTTCCAGACTATCTATTACTATTGCCTGAGCTTGCTCTATACCTTCATCGTCGTCCAAAATCTATGCCTCTACTCTAAGTATACCACAACTCTCTCCTAAGAACTTTAATACATGCCGTACCATGATTGCTCAGCGACTGTTCAATGCCTGCTGCTGTGGTCTCGGCGAGACTGTGCCAATGGCCTTGGGAGACGCTTATATATAGCCATGCGCATTTCTTATGATACATCTCATGGCATTGAAGCCACTCATTGTGTGAGTGAGCTGGAGGAGCCTGAAAACGCATTGGAACTCGTAGTGCGTAGCTGGTAAAGGCGAACATCATAAAAGGTAATTGGTTCGATATCCCATCAAAGTCAGCCAATACCAAAGGCTGTGGTCTCATTACTTCCTCCAGCCGACGCTCCAGATAACATGAGCAATGTCACGGGCGGTATTAACCGTGTCTATAACACGGTCAAGAATACCGTCCGCCGAGGATGCTCCTCTCTCCACGTAGGGCATGAACATGCCAGAAGGAGTCCTTCGCATGCCTGCAGGCTCTTCACAAAGGCTATCCGAAGAGAGGGGTCGGCGAAGGTCGCCGTTGGCACCTTGAGCGGGCGGCGACGGCCAACCTATGCTGGAGCTGAGCAGTACATCGTCGAGACTGTCGTCCTCCCCTTCTTCACCAACAAAAAACATTCTGGGCTGCTTAGCAGGTCGAAGATCTTGCAGCGAAGAAGAGGGCATGATTGAGCTTCGAGAGTGCTGGCTAGCCGTCCCTCGTGGTTCTAGAGTGTCTTCCCGGCACTTCAGGGTAGTGGATGGAAGCATGGCAATTGTCTTTCCTTCGGCTGGCTTTGACTCCAAAACCTTCCGTTGGAAGAGCGATCGCTTCCTTGTATTGGCGCGCTTCACCATTACGCCATCCTCTAGATCATCATCATTGCCGTAACGGCCGGTGTCCAGCTCGCCATTACTATGTTCGACACCCTTAAATTCCACAGCAATGCATTGCTCGACTCGTTCGTTGAAATGGGTGTGCTTTCGCTCACAGGTGGGGGATGTGATCCCAGAGGACTTTGTGGAGGGACTGACGCTACTGTTTTCTCCACCCAGTTGTCGTTGAGAAAATGGCTGAGAAAGACAGTCAGTCGGTGGACGACCCATATGAGGACGGAAGATACCCCTGGTCTCCTGGATTTTGACAGCTGCCGTAGCTTGCTTGAGTAGTGAAGCTGTCGATAATGACCGCTGGAGCATCTCTTCAGACGAGCTCCGCTTCTTCAGGATTGGCTTCTTATCGAGGTTCACATCTGAATCAGTTTTGGACAATGGCACCTTAGAGGGCTCGGTCTGGGTGGAGTTAAGGGCATCTGGTACCGAGTGCAGAGGACCATAAAGCCAGGTTATATCGCAATCCTTAAGCCTTGGAGATGTAAGTATTCCAATCAAACATTAGGTAAAACTTCGGGAATACAAACCAGTCAAGCGTCTCAGGGGAAATGGTTTTCAGATTATTCTTGGCCTGAATCCACGTTCTCCAAGCAGCATTTTCTAATCGCACGCTGTCGGGCAAATCTCCTCGTCGCATCACAATGTATCGCCATGATGACCAAATATCTTCCTCCCTCCAATTGTGGGATAGGTAGTCAACATGGCGCGAGGGTCTGCTAGAGATAGCCATGTCGTCCTTGGTATGCTCATTATGGTCAGGAGTCCCAGGCCTTGAGGTGTCGCCAGACACTTCTGAATTTGCATGATCCGCGGGGCAGACCATGTAAGAGTCGCCACTTCGAGAACTTGAGGATGTTTCTAGGCCAACATCGGGGTCAATTGCCGGGTGGACGTAGAGCCTTTCTTGCACGAAAGAAGAAAACATGGCGCGATCTTCAGGTGAATCAGTGAAAACAACAGTCCTGATGAAAGGCGAAGGGTTGTCCCCAGATGGGATCTTTTTGACGCTGCAGCACCCGAGAAGGAAAGTTGAAGGGGGAGCTCGTAGTTAGAGACTCATAAGACTTGCACCCGCTGCCTTGGAATTGGTGGCGGTTACAGTGGTCGTTCGGCTTTGAGGTAGCGGTGATGGGTGATACCCTTACTACCTGGAGGATCGGGAAGAGAGGAAGGAAAGAGAGAGATAAATGAGATAAACGAAAATGAAATAGACAAGAGAGATTGCTCAGATAGAAGAATGGGTGTATAAGGAGCGGGAGAGGCAGAACAAAGTTTTGGGGAGCGCTAAACAATAGAGAATGGGACATGGGATAGTGGATAAGGAACGAGGGGAAGCCAGAGGACGAATGGTATGTTATCAAAAGCCAAAATAGAAGGGACCAGTGAGAGGAAGTGGAGGGCGTAGAATTAAAGAATGTTTTAAAGGGTGATGAGGAACATAGGGAGTGCGAATTAGAGTGCGCAAGATGAGAGAGACCGTGCAAGCATGTGGGCGTTTTATCACTAGCGATCAAGGATGGGAAAGAGATGGCCAGCAAGGGCATGGGGTGCTAGATTCGGGACAGTCAGAATGCAACCCCCCGCCCCTGGGGGGTTGCGATACCAAAACAGTGGAGACCAAAGCGACGAGGGCGGGGATTTGCCTGGTTCTTTACAGGAGAAACAGGGGGCAAGACCCTTTTTTTCCTTTCTTTTACTCAACTTTTTTTTTCTTTTCTTTTCACCATCGCTGACTTTATGCATCATTAGGCGAAGCAGGCATCGATGGATGGCGGGAAAAGTGGCAGAGGCCATTGGATCGCGTCGCTAATTGAGGCATCAAACGAAGATTCTCAAGCTGCAAAGGAAAAGTTGATTGAAAATCCCCGAAGATAACAAATTCGGATAACTCTATTCCGCTACCACCTGGCCCTGCTATGTAGATGTTTATTGATGCCGCTATCTCTTCAGGCGGCATAAAGCTCCGGCGGGGTCACGACAGGGGTGTAGGACCTATCAAAATGAGCGCTACTTGAAGTACATTCTCACACACCTAAATTTGCGTGTGATAGAAGTACCAGCAGTCAGCCGTGTTACAAATAGCTACATCACATACTTTGCAGCCGTACACGGTCTGCACCCTTCGTTCATTTCCTGATATCGGCTGTAGATAACCTCCTTTTTCCTTCTTCCTTTTAAAGGGTCGGGCCTGACCCTGCCGGAAGCCTTTGCAAGCTAGGCAGCTTGAATGTATGCCCCGATGGACATGATTGATATCTCTTTGTAGGTGAATTTGCCGTGCTTCTGTATCCTCGATGTCTTCTTCCATTCCTGTACGGCCTCTCTTCCTTATGTGACTTTCAGTTGCGTATCTGTTGAAAATGGCATTATAAATGCACTCCTTCCAAGCTTTAAGCGTGCTATAGGGCTTCCAACGAGGCTGCCGTGTTTTCTTCTGTAAAATGAAGCTATTCGCAAGTGCGACTTCAAGGAGGAAAGACCAAAGCAACGCTTGCCAAGGACCGCGCCGGAATCGGTGCTGATATGTTGTATAAGACCGTATCTGATCGCCGCGGTCAACGTGATTCATTTCATCGTTATACTGAGCGGCAACAGTAGGAATAGGGATTATCTTGAAGCTATCACCATTGAAGACCTGCTGCAGGCGCTGTGACTCTGCCTTTGTGCCTCTTTTGGCGGGCTTTTTCCTCTTTTTTGGTGTGCGCTCGTGAGGGGCTCCGCTAAGCACAGTTGAAAGGAAGAGCACGATGCTGCTATCTTTCCAAGCGATTTGGATGACCTAAGGAGAAAGGAAAAGGACAAATTAGTAAGGGAAATACAGGTAAAGCTGTCCATACCTGTTTATCTTGTGTCGGGATCAAATATACCTTATTATATTGCAAAGCTATGCCGTCAGGAGCTTTTCCGGTCTCTTTTATATGCTTCATCTCGGTGGTGATGCCGCAGTTAGGGCGTGCCGTGCCTGTGGCACCGTGGCCAAGCTGCCGAAGAAGGCGGAAGAGCTGCGGCGACGAGAAGAGGTTATCCGTGAAGACGTGATGTGTCTGCGTTGACAGCCTTTTTAGTAGGTGAACCACGACGCTTTGTGTATTGTTGAGAGGAATCTCGGTCCGTAGCTTTCCCTTCTTGCCATACGGCGTTGGTGTAGGTAGCTCGACTATAACAGCCTTATATGGTGATGCCTTCACGTGCCAAAGCCACTGCAGAAAGAAGCCCTGTTGGGCGATAACCCAGACTTTGAACCCCACGGGCGTGGGTTTATTCTTGACGACTGTTGTCTCTTTTGATCTGCCTGTAAAAGGGATCATACACTCATCTACAGTGAAGTTAGTCCCTGGAGAATAGAGCTCGATAGACACGCTTTGTATGTGATTAGACCACTCTTCAGCCGCTTGGAAGGTCTTTGGAAGGTCGCTCTCATCCCTCACATCGAGCTTGGTGTAGTCAAAAGTGCGGAAATACCTCGTGATCAGCTCGAACTTCCGTAACGGCATGAACTTGATGATTGAGTGAAGAGGGCGCTGATCTCCTAGGCTAGGGGTCTTCCAATGGTCTTTGATCGATATTTCCCTATGAATTCCTAGGTAAATAAGGACCCCAAGCCATACATAAGCTGTTGCAGTAGAGATGCCTTCCCACTTGAGAATGCGGGACTGTTTGGAAAGGGGGGTATTCCAGTTGTCAATAATGCCATTTTCAAGTAAGTGAGTGACCCAGCTGTTGGTGTATTTAATCCATGACTGTACAAGGGAAATAGGTACGAAAAGCTGGAATAATTCAAGTGGTTCCTTGGGTAGAGGGTTGATCTTGAAATCACGATATTCTAGGTTAAAAGGTTGAAAATCATCACCGCAGCCCTCTTCGGGCGGAAAATTAGGCACGCCGGTGGGGTCATCAGCCGCCCTCAAAGGCGGGGTATCAAAGCTGTGATCATCTATATAATCAGGTATCTCTTGGGAGCTCATCGTTTTAATTAAGACGCGTTAGGGTCAATTTGTATGAGGATTTTGATGATTTTGGCTGTGTTGAATGAAGAAGCTGTCTGACGAGAACTTCACGTACCCCGCAGGTACTAGTGTTGTTAGTAAGCAATGTGGGGCGAGTGACCTGCCGGAGCCTTATGCCGCTCAAAGAGATAGCCTGTCTCACTCAGCCACAAGGTTCTTGAACAGTACGATATCCCTACGTCATATTGGGGATGTGCTTTTGGTTGTGTTTTTGCGTATTGGGCGGTGTGTGCCCTCCCACCAATCACCGTCTCTGTGTGTGTAAATCCGGGGTTCTCTAAAAACGCTCTTGACAGCTCTGGTTTGCCTATGGGGCCATAATTATAGATGGGATGAGAGAATTGAAAAGGTTCAGTAGGAAGACCTTTTAAGCAATTGGATTGTTATGTCGATGATAGTCTCGTCGTCGCGGTTTCCGGATGCAGAAAACTCGAAATTTCAGGAGGCGACTCTTTAGTGCTTACTATCCGCGGCGGATCGGCTCGGCCTAAGGCACTGTAGGTCAGATCCCGGGGCGCCACGATTCTTTAATGCTCAGTCGACATCCTCGGCACAAGCTCATCTTTACAAGTTGTCGGACTTTCCCATCTCCAGGCTATCACTGACGGTTTCAGAGTTCATAGGATCACCGAGACATTCGAACCGGGTTCATTCGACGATTCGTCAGTTCTGGATCTTCAAAGAAGCGCATCCAAGAAACGGCCAGCCTCTTCTTCCCTGGTTCATCCCCGAGCGAAGATGGCACGGATCAGAGAACTCTCAGTTGGCTATATTATTGATTCCAATCTTCCCTTCTCTACCTTCGAGAGTACCTACCTACAACAGCTGATTCGTCAGTTAGACTCTGATCTTTATGCTCAGATATCCTGGGGTCGACCTTCAGCCAAGAAAGAATTGGAGGACATACTCTCTTTGAAGAAAGCTGCCGTCAGGGAGGAGCTTGACGAAGCCGTCACACAGATACACATCAGCTTCGATCTGTGGACGTCTCCAAATAGACTAGCTTTCATTTCGATATTTGGCCACTTCATTGATCGGAGTAACTCACACCAACGCCGGCTACTTGCTTTCAGGAGGTAGATTGGATCTCACGCTGGCGAGAATATCGCCTACACTGTAAAAAATGTTGTCCCTGATTGGGGGATTGATCGCAAGATTGGGGTCTCGATCTGTGACAATGCAGCTAGCAATGACGTTTGCTTGCGAAACTTCTACACGAACCTCGATACCTCGATAACTCGAGCGGATGCGGAGGCACGAAGGATGCGATGTTTCGGGCATATCTTAAACCTTGTTGCCCAAGCTTTCCTCTATGGCGACGATGCAGCTTCTTTTGAACTTCAATCTGAGGCTTATGGCATGCTAGAGCGGGTCGAAGAAGACCTCGAACAATGGCGAGCTAAGGGCCCAGTTGGGAAGCTTCATAATATCGTCAAGTTCATCCGGGCCTCTCCGCAGCGCACTGAAGCATTCAAATCACAAGCTAGGGAGCAGGAAGAAGCAGACATTTATAAGCTTGCGGAAGAGTCAACAGCTGAGCTGGAAGTGATACAAAACAGCCCTACGAGATGGAACTCGACCTACATGATGATCGAGCGCGCCTTGATCAAGCAGTCTGAGCTCAATAGCTTCATCCAAGATTTAGGGCTAGAAGCAGACGCCTCAAAAAGGGTTCCCATGGCCGACATTCTGACCTCCGATGACTGGAAGGTCCTCAGGGAAGTTAGCCATATTTTGGAGCCGATCTACAATATGACAATGAGAACACAAGGATGGGGTACAAGTGGAGGCCACGGCCGGCTCTGGGAGGTCATGACAGGGATGGAGTATATTCTGGAACATCTAAAAGATTGGAGGCTTCTCTACGACGATGAAACTGCGAATCATGCTACGGAGGAAAGACGTAGAGCTCAGGGGG